GTATCCCACCTGTTCAACTCGCTGACGAGGTCGTAGGTGTGTAGCCATTTTTCAACGTCATCCCTTTTGAGACCCGAGAATACTGGCGGATCACGCTGGTGGCTGTGGATGGCCAGGGTCGACGGCGGAGGCCGCACTGGGCTGGTGGTGTTGGATGGACCAGGATTGTCTTGCACTGCCATGGCAGGTGGTAGTAGACGACGACCCGAGCGGAGCTCCAGTGGTAACGTGCGAGAGCACTTGGGGATCGAGAAGCACCGTTCACCACTTATGAGGAAGAGATTTATTCGAGCCGAGCTCGAGCTGGCACACACTGACGATGATATCTACAGGTGAGGAAATTATACAAATAATGATGACACGTCCAATTGATAAAGAAGAGTCGGTGACTGCGCTCTCAATATATATATATATATATATATATATATATATATATATATATATATATATATATATATATATATATATATATATATATATATATATATATCTTGAAAGTCTTTCTGAATTCGGTCGGGTTATTTGTCATCAGATGAAGCGGACAAAAAAAAACGATGCTTTATTCTCAAGGTTACGGCTGGTGAGGGGCCTTCGTCAGGGCATACATGCCTGTGACACTAACACGCACTCTTTAAGGACATGGCATAGGGGCCCCCATCGTGAATAGTCACTCTTAACAAATTTTAACATATACATCTTAACAAACAGATATTCAGACATGCGCAGCATCTTGTAGATAGCAGGGCAGCAATGCGCGATACAAAATATGGGAATACAATATGACGAGAAAACATAGGCTACAAATAATATGCAGGACACTTATGATATGGCAACATCTGTGAACATCTAAAATCAGTGTGAAAATTAAAAAAACAATAAAAAAACTAAAAGAGCAATACAATGTCAAGTCGCGTTTGTTTTCCATCAAATGTCGACGAGCATAACAGCACCATTCATGTCACAATGTGTTAACAAAGTGTGCATGGCTTCTGGACAACTAACTTACTGCTCTGGCCGATGTCACCGAAATGCAATTACAGCAGTGAACAAACGTGTACATGGGCTATGATGGTTGATTAATCTGTTTTGCTGGCAAAAATGTAAGCCTCCCTGGATTCTCGTTTATTCCAGACGCTATGGCGTTAAATTTATGGATAAGATAAAATTCACGAACTTCCCTTTCGTAGTGCGATTTATAACTAGATTCGAGCATTGTGGCAGATATGTCGTCAAAAGAGTGGCCTGGAGCAGCGATGTGTTTGAACAGGGAAAGGCTATAGGCAGGCCCAAGACGTGTGACGAGTGATTATTGAAGCGCAATCGGAAAGCCATCTCTGACGGACAATATATTGGAGGTTACACAATGAGCATTCAAGCAAGTAGATTACATTGATCGTGTCGCAGTCGAAATCGCTTTTTATCCGGAGAGTGAAGTCTGACGCAGCGCTCTTAAGAATCCGCGACGTGGTTATGTGGGGGCACACCTTGCAGTGTGCCTTGTTACATGAATGACACCCCACATGGACTGGCATTGATGATATGGATGACGTAAGTATGTCTCGTAGGTTTCTCGGATCAGCGATAAACTGCTCGTGGAGGCTCCGGAAAGACGTCTTTAAGACGATTGTTTTTCATTAGTATGTTATAGTGCTTCTTTGAGGATCGCGTTGGCATTTGTAATCGACGCAGAATGTGTCAGAATTAAATTGATGTGCTTCCAGTGCGCAGGTTCTTTATCCGATTTCAGAAGCGCTCTTCGGTCCATTGCATTGGCGTGCATGATCGCGTTGTCCCAAATCTGAGGCGGGTATTGTTGTACAGTTAGGGTATCACGAAGCTTATCGCAGTTCTCGAGAAAGTCTGAATTTTCGGAGCACAGCCTTTTGAAGTGAAGTGCATAACTGTATGGTATACTCCGGGAGTGAGTGAGAATTTATTAGAAGGCAGAGAGGTCGGCCTGAGCTAGTTCGCTCTAGCCTGCTACTCTACATAGGGGATAAGGGAAAGGGGAAGGAAAGAGGGATGAAGGGTGATGATGGGGACAAGAAGAGGTGGTGCGTATGTACAGTAGCCACTTAGCATAGTACCCTACAGTCTAGTTTCTAGTCCAGTGGTTTTTATAAAGTCTAGAACAGCCTTTGTAGCAGTTTTTGACACTGTTTGGTCGTTCATTGCTGACAATATGTGGCTTTCACTTAATGGTGTTCGTCCAATGCTCGCCAACGTTGCAGTTAGCATTTTTCTTTGCGCCACGTATATTGCACAGTCACAAAATATGTGAGCTATCGTTTCGCGCACTTGGCAGCGTTCACAATTTGGGCTGTCCGCACGGCCGATTAGGTGGGTGTAGTGGCGAGTGAAGGCGACGCCCAGGCGAATTTGGTGCAGTATATTAGCATGTTTTCGGCTGATTTTATCTGGAAGACGAAAAGTCATACCGGGGTCTGTTTCCCGCAGGCGCTTGTTCCGGTGATCTGGTAGCGACCAGTAAGTGGCAGCGCATTCGCGCATGAGTGATCTAAACAATGTGTGGACGTCACCTCGCGAGTAGGGTACTTTGACGTACATAGGAGCGTTGTATATTGCCGCTCTTGCTTCGCTATCGGCTGTTTCGTTGCCAACCAGGCCGCAGTGTCCAGGAATCCATTGGAGCGTAATCAAGTGACCGCTCCTGTGTGTTAGGTCAAATGCTTGGACGATTCCTAACGTTAACTCGTAAAATTGGCCTCTTCTTGAGCAAGAATGAATAGCTTGAAGCGCTGATTTTGAATCAGACAGAATTGTCCATTTACGCGGTGCTTGGTTGTTCACAAATTTTATGGCTTCTTGTATAGCAACAAGTTCTGCAGCTGTCGAAGATGACCTATGATCTAATTTGTACTGTCGGGAAATACCGAGTTGGGGGATCACGAAGGCTGCAGCTGAGGCGGATGAAAATGGTATACTCGTCTTACAATGTTTAACATGGCTGCTTTTCAAATGAAGGTATTGGTGCAAGTCGGTGGGTTTTCTGTATACTTTAGTAGATATTTTTTTGCCGCAAAGAGATACTGTGACATCCAGGAAACAAGTGGATTTCTTCGAACACGATTGTGACAATGAAATGAATGGGTGAACCTTGTTAAAGTCCGCAATCAAAGTCATGAATTCCACTTTGCCGTGGCGCCAGATAAAAAAAAAGGTCGTCTATAAAACGTTTGTAGTAGTGCGTCTACACGGTTTAAAGAAAATGATTTTTTAACTGGCTCATAAATATATTCGCATATTTTGGACCGAATTTAGGGCCCATTGAAATTCCACTGACTTGTACGTTGTGAACACCGCCGAACTCAAAATTTATAGGCTCCAGGATGAGTTTTAATAATGTGGCTAATGGACAGCTATCAACAGATTTGTCACATGATGAATCGTCATACGCATCCACTACTGCACGAATGCCGTCTTTTGGGGGAATGTTTTTATAGTGTAAAGTGACGCAACATCTAATCTTACCAGCAATGGGTCAGCAGGGACATTTAGGTCGATGATGTCAGCCAGGAAATGAGAAGTGTCCTTCAGATAGGACAGAAACGTTGGAGGTGGTACACTGATAAAGCTATCGACATAGCTTGAAAGCATTTCGGGGACAATGCCAATGCCTGACACTATAGAATGACCGGAGTTATAGGGCTTATGTATTTTATGCAATAGGTAAAACCTTCTTGGAACAGGGCTTAAAGGGACTAATGAGCGCTTTGCTTTATCGGGAAGTTTGTCATCTAATATAAAACACTTGATTGTATCAGTAACGACGTTCTTAATTTTTTAGTGGGGTTGTCATTGAGTCGCTTGTAAGATGTGTCATTATCTAGCTGTCTCTGAGCTTCACAAATGTAGTCTATTGTGTTCATTATTTCGACTGTGCCTCCTTTATCGGCGGATTGAATTACAATATCGGCGTGCTCTTGTAAGCATTTACCTGCATTTCGTTCTTTGAATGTTAAGTTTCCTTTGAATGAAATGCGGTTCCAACAAGCTTGCAGGATGTCAAGCTGAACTGCAGAAATGTACATATCGAGGAATTTATTGCGTTTTGTTGGCGGCGTTCAGTGGTAACGGGAAGACATGTTGCTCTTGGATGATGAACGTTCATGGAAAAATTCGCTTAGCTTCATACTGCGCGTGAATTCATCTAAGTATTTTACCAAGGTTAATTCGTTGTAGCCGCCGGTATCTGTACAGAAATTTAAGCCCCGAGCAAGCACACTCATTCCCGAGTCAAATAAAACAACGTTTGAAACGTTTACTATAGTTGATAGTTTGCCTCGTCTAGAACAGGATGGTTCGACGGGAAGGGAAGCTTCTTTGTTCAGTGGTTTTGGAAGGGTAATATGGTCACGCAGAAACTTTCTCGCTTTCTTCTGTTCAATTTCTAATTGTTTTCTCTGTTCGTATTTAACTAGCGAATACGATTCATAAGGATCCAACATAGGAGTTTTGCGCAACTGCCGTTCACTGTTTAGCAACGCTTTGAAAACAGAATTATAATGATCGATGATAATGCGCATGAGAGCTAGTGACGCGTTCTTTAACGTTTCGTTCTGTTTATCGACGTTGCGTTGAGACATTTCGGAAGTAGCTGGTTTGAGCGAAACCACAAATCCTTTCGGTACAAGCAAGGCATTTAAATTGGTGCTTAACCTATATGCGTGTCATTCGTAGTTCACACGTTTCTAATTCTGAGAAAGTTACGACTGTGAATACGGTTGTCGGATGAGGTTGGTATAAGTCAATTTGTTTAGGGCACAGCGCTTTTCTCACAATTGCAATTTCTTAAACAGTACCGGTGCGACAAAGAAATGTTTCCAGACCTTTCACGAGAGGAGAGTCCTTGGTTCTTTGGTTTCGCAGCAACTGCGGCGTAGATAAACTTTTCTTGCGCAAGGGACTCGGTGTAGATTTTGGGCGCTTGGAGGTGGTGTGGTGGAGATCAGCAGGGCGGGACTCAAGTTCCACAAGACCAGGTTCGTATCGCAGGCTTGTTTCATGGGACCACTGGGCACATGTGGTCAAGCCATGAGGAAGACAAGACGTCAGTTCCGAAAACACAGCTGCTTGATGTGGCCAGCCATCAAAGCAACACCCTCAAAGTTTGGGATAAGACCGTCTGCCACGAGGACGCGCACCGACGGAGACCATTCGAAGGCATGGTCCAGAAAAAAAAACACCCGGTGAGAGCAGCAGCAGAAGCTCCGTAGATGGTCGTTGAAATCGCTGGCTTCGCGAATGCAGTGGCGGAAAAATGCTTCGTTGTGCTTGTCACGACGGCAGTTTAAAGCATGAGGGAGTAACAAAGTTACATAAATCCGGCTTATCATGGGGCGATTCGACAGAATAAGCAGTAGCAGGGCCTTGCACTTGTTGAACGTTACACGTCCAGTGCTGTGAACCAAATCATTTGTTCCGACGTGAAGAATCAGAGTTGTCGTTGAATGTGGCACGAAATCCAAAAGGCCGTGTACGTCGCTTATCACAGCGCCAAACTGTGTGCCCCGCCGTGGTGGTCTAGTGGCTAAGGTACTCGTCTGCTGACCCGCAGGTCGCGGGATCAAATACTGGCTGCGGCGGCTGCATTTCCAATGGAGGCGGAAATGTTGTAGGCCCATGTGCTCAGATTTTGGGTGCACGTTAAAGAACCCCAAGTGGTCAAAATTTCCGGAGCCCTCCACTACGGCGTCTCTCATAATCATATAGTGGTTTCGGGACGTTAAACCCCACATATAAATCAATCAATTAATCAATCAGCGCCAAACTGTGTGATAAACGCCGGAGTACTCTCCCGTAGAGGGTCGAAATGCTGAAACAAATACTTCAATTGGGAGTCGCCATTGACAGCCGTAGAAACTGTCGTCATTGGGAATTTTCATTTGATTGTTTTCGTTGCCGTTGCCAGAATTCATAGGTATCTGGTATTTCTGGAAAGTCTTCCTGAATTCGGTAGGGTTATTTTTCATCAGATGAAGCAGACGAGCAAACGAAAAAAACAATGCTTTATTGCCAACGTTACGGCTGGGGACCGGCCTTCGTCAGGGCATACATGCATGTGACACTAACACACACTTTTTAAGGACATGAAATAGGGCGCCCCCATCGCGAATAATCACTCGTAACAAATTTTGACATTTACATGTTAACAAGCAGATATTCAGACATGCGCAGCATCTTGTAGTAGCAGGGCAGCAGTGCGCGATACAAAATATGGGAATGCAATATGACGTGAAAACATAAGCTAGAAATAATATGCACGACACTTGTGATATTGCAACATTTGTGAATGACTAAAAGCAATGAAAAAAAATTTAAAAAGTGATGAAAAGTAAACAGACAGAGCAATACAATGTCAAGTCGCGTTCGTTTTCAATGAAATGTAGACGAGCATAATGTCACCATTCCTGGCACAATGTGTTAACAAAGTGTACACGCGTTCTGGACAACTAGTAGCTGCTGTGGCCAATGTCACCGAAATGTAAGTACAGTCATGAACAAACGTTTTTATGGGCTACAATGGTTCATTTATCTGTTTTGCTGGCGAAAACAGTGTTAGCCTAAGTTTTCTGTTTCGTTGCCTTACGACAATACATAGAAGCCATGATGTGCCCGAAGTTTCGAACTAAATAACATTGTGACGTGCTCTGTATAGCATTAACGCGTTTTACGACGGACTTCTGTGACAGCGCATCCCTTCTAGCCACGTTTTCAAATCAGAAAACGCCCGTATTTGTATGAGTTACCTAGAAATGATGCTACGTTTCCGAACTGCATCAATTGCAAACAAGCCAGCGGAAATTTTCAATGCACGCGCACGCACCGGTAAAATTTATTGTGTGGCATGGGCGTGCCCAAACCCTTCCCTAGTTGTCGTGACGTCACTCATAGGATGCCGGGTTATGCCGTCTGCTGGGACCACACGTTTCCTTCGCTTCTACCACCACGCGTTTCTGCTTTGTGCAGTGCGCATGCTTCCTCCTATAATCCGGGCAAGCGAACGGCAACCCAAGTGGCACACACGTGTAGCATGCTACAATCGTTCCCTAAAGGCGGTACAGCTGATACGATGCAAATGGGTACGATGCGAATGGTGTCACGAAAGGTAAGCAGCAAATACGTTAATAAATACACCAATTCAACTAGAATTCTCAGACTTCGCGTGAAACAATTAAGCGAGTGAACTTGCAGCATTTAGGTGAATGGGCCTCGGAACACTACATTACCCCCTCCGCACGTGTGATGCAAGGTAATGAACAACTGTCAATGGACAAGCGCGGGAAGCTGAGCGGAGCGAATCTCCGCATCATGACTAGAAGTGCTGGGGGAATCTGCAGAACAAAGGGCCGACCTTCACTGCTCTGTTTATTTTCGTTGATTTACAATCATCGCCATGTCGCTTTTTTTTATTTTACTGCTGTTTAACATAGCTCTTGCCATTGCTTACCCTAGTCGGCAACGTATCATTGTTAGTTTTCTGAGCCTTCCATGAAATCGTAGACATGACAAAATATTTTTTTTCCTTAAGCACCTCGCCGCGAGAGATAGTTAAGACGCGGGTGCTCATTTTTCTATTTATTTTGTTAATTTACAGTGTGCTTACCGTTCTCCATCATCAGTTAACTCATCAATAAACGCACGCAATGAGCATACCGGGATGAAGCCGCTGGCAAAGCTCGTGAGCACACGTCAGCTGTTACCGAATATCCTAGCAGTGGCCACGCACACGAAATCCTCGTTACGAACGTGCTGCTTTCTGTGGACCCGTGAATTAGCGTCGACGTCTTTCTCCATTTCCAGATTTACCAGCCAAGTGTTGCGCACTTCCTAGCAGAATTGGAGCAATGATGAACACTTATAGATCGGACCTGTCGCTTACGCCTGGCAAGAAGGCAGCGAACAGTACACCAACAAGCTGAAGCTGCTTGCAAGTTCCCTACAGTGGTGTTGCGGTTACGGTACTCGGCTGCCTTCAGTCCCCAGCGGCTGCGAAGTAACTGTCCAAGGCGGCGGTGACCTGCGACGCAGCGGTTGGTGCTAAGGATCTACGGACAGGCCGCCATTGGAATCTGAACTTGGCTTAACGCTGGAGCGCTGTCCTGTGAGGTCAGCCTATAGCTGTGCTATTCGGGGAATCAGAGGATGTTAAATGGGATGTAATAGGACTCGGGGAAGGTAGGAGAACACGTGAGGCTTATACAATGCTGAGGAACATACACGCCTAATGATTAGTTGGCAGCAAAGAACTAGCGGCGGGGTTTCTTGTATACAAGAATATCGCGGGTGACATACGGGAATGCTATAGCATCAGTGGGAGGGTGACAAGTATCGCAATTAGGTTTAACAAAAGGTTCAAAATGAAGGTGGTACGGGCTTATATACGCGCTTATACATCTAACCATGATGATCATTTTGTTGAACGCTTCTACGAAGACAATTCTCTATCTATCAGGTTATGTATAGGGGTTTGTTGTATTCCGCTTATTTCTCTATCAATCAGCTGATAGAGGAATGCGCGGAATAAGAACAACTCCTATACATAACTTTCATAGATTACGGAAAGGCGTTCGACTCAGTCGAAACGTCAGCAGTGATGCAACCACTACGGAATCAGGGTATCGACAAACCCTGTATAAACGCACTGGAAGAAATCTACACAGGATCTACAGCCACCATAGTTATTCATAAAAAAAAGACAGAATGCCAATAATGAAGGGTGTGAGGCAGAGCGACACGATCTATCCAGTGATATTCACCGCATGTTTACAGGAGGTTTTTAGGGTCCTAGATTGAGAAGAGTTAGAGATAAGAGTTAATGGAGAGTATCTTAGTAAACTGCGATTCACTCATGGCATTGGCATGATGAGTAACCCAGGGGACTAATTACAGCTCATGATTACTGAACTGGAAACGAAGGCAGAAAAGTAGGTCTGAAAATAAAATGCACAAAACTAAACTATTGTGCAACAGTCTCTGCAGAAAACAGCACTTTGGGATAGGTGGAGAGCCGCTCAAAGTTGTACAGAAATATATCTACTTAGGACACGTAATAACCGCTGAGCCGAACCACGAGACTGAAGTAACGAATGGGGTGGAGCACACTTAGCAAGTACTCTCAAATCATGACGGGTATATTGCCACTATCCCTCAATAGGAAGGTATATAACAGCGGCATATTTCCAGTACTTACCTACGGAGCTGACGTCTGGAGGCTTACAAAGAGGGTTCAGCTTAAATTGAGGACGACGAAAGAGTGGGTCAGGGAACAAACCGGGGTTAAGGACATCATAGTTGAAACCAAGAAGAAGAAATGGATATGGGCCGGGCATGTAGCACGTACGCAGGATAACCGCTAATTAATGGTAACTGACTGAATTCCCACAGAAGGCAAACGCATGAAGGGAAGACAGAAAGTTAGGTGGGTCGATGAGAATAAAAAGTTCGAACATATACTGTCGCTGCAGAAAGCACAAAAGCGGGTTGGTTGGCGGATCATGGGAGAGGCCTTTTCCCTGCAGTGGGCGTAGTCAGGCTGATGATGATGATGATGATGATGATGATGATGATGATGATGATGATGATGATGATGATGATGATGATGACTCAGCTGCTGACCCCCAGGTCACGGGTTTGATCACGGTCGCGGCGGTCGCATTTAGGAGGAGGAGGAATGCCAGAGGCCCGTTTACTGTGCGATGTCAAAGCACGTTAATGAACCCCAGGGGGTCAAAATTTTCAGAACTCTCCACTAAAGCGTCCCTCTTAATATCAGGGTTTTAGGACGTCAATCCCCAGATGTTTTATTATCATAATTAGGAGCTGTTTGCATGCAACCTAGCACTTCTTATACGGCCTTAATATTTGCAGTTGTGCAAATTAAGCTTCACACGCTGATAACTGAATGCTGCGCACCAAGATTCCATCCGAACGTCGCGTTCGTCAACAAATACGCCACAAGGTGAGCAGCAGCACCCTATCAGTGACGTCAAAACGATCGCAGGGCCAGTCTGTCCAGTGGAGGCGCTCGCGGCTTTACCATGCGCTTTACCCTTCAGGGAGGGGAGGGGGCACCCCATTCGTGCCCACGACTATGCTTTTACTCACTCTAACCAGCCATGTAAATTTGTTTAGAGTGCAAATACCATTTTAAAAGTTATTCAATGCAGATTTTCAACAAGCGCCCGAC